ACGTGAAGCCTGGTGACTCAGCTGCCACTTCAGGCAAGAGAAACCGAAACTGAAGGAAATCTACTCCCATGCTGTTGTGTCCTCCCTCTGGAAGCTCTTAGGACATCCCAGGTGGCACCATGCACTCAGAGGGTGCTTGTGTTGGTTCAGGTCCTCTAAGAAGCAGATGCTAAAACTGGAATAGATGCACAAGAGATTTATTGAGGGAAAAGGGGAAGGAGCTATGGGAGCCTGGGAGAGCATTCAGACCACCACACTATCTGCATAAGAGAGAGGGAAAGAAGAAAGTTTAGGTAGGAAGAGTCTCAGACTCCACCACGGTACTAGGAAGTTTTGGCAAGGCCACTGGGGAGTCCTGCCTCTTGCAGGAAAGGGTCTGCCTTAAATCACTGCTGTGCTCCGTGCTTGCTGGAGAGCAGCCTGTGACAGTGTGGTCCTCGAGCCAAAGCCCTGGTGCACTCAGAGCACAGCAGCTGGGTCTGTCTTCAATTAAGCTCCTCAAGACCCCACAGTGCCTGAGAATGTTAGTCTGTATTACTTTTCATCCAAAGCATCTGCATGCATATAGAGAGATGCTAAGCTTGTGAATGGTAACAATTTTACTAATAGCAATAATACTACTACTCACCATGTATTAATAGAAAGCTCTTTTATGTACCAGGCACTGCACTAAATAATTTACATGCATCGTATCATTTAATCATTAAAACAACCTTATGACATAGCTATGATCATTAGCCCATTTTAGAGATGGTGATTGTTATGAACCGAATTGTGTCCCCTCCAAATTTGTATGTTGAAGTCCTAATTCCTGGTACTTTTTTTGTGTGTGTATGTTGGCAAACAGTTTATTTATTTTTAATAAAGATAGGAAGGAATTACACTGAAGTATTGATACTTATCTCCATGTTATGCAATTATAGGCAGTTTTTCTGCTTCTTACTTTTCAGATAAAACACAAAAGTATAAACTTATTTTTATAACCTGATAGTTATTATAAAAAAGGAAAAAGTGAACAAGTTGAATAGTCAGCTTCTAAAGGAGGAACTAGCTCATAAAATTTAAATGTTTAAACACACTACACAGTAAAGAAGTTCTTACCATACATATTAAAACATCAGCAGATGAAATTTGTAGTATCCCAATAATTGCAGCCCGCAGCCTTCACCTAATCCCTGGTGAGGAATATGTATTTGGAGATATAGGGTCTTTAAAGAGGCAATTACATTAAAATGAGATAATTAGTTTGGACCCTAATCCACGTGACTGGTGTCCTTATAAGAAGAGGAAATTTGGACACAGAGGGACACAGATATACACAGAGGGAAGATGATGTGAAGATACAAGGAGAAGACAGACATCTACAAGCCAAGGAATGAAGCTTCAGGAGGAAGCTTGGCAATACCTTAATCTTGGACTTCTGGCCTCCAGAACAGTGAGAAACTAAAGTTTTGTTGTTTAAACCACTCAGTCTGTGGTACTTTGATATGGCAGCTCTGGCAAACTAATACCAGACTATTGTGGCTTAAAGTGGTCAAGTAACTTAGAGCCAAAGTCACAAAACTGGCACATGGGTGAAACAGCATTCAGCTTCTCTCATTCCAGAGCCCTTTCTCTTAAATAATCTCCTCTACTGGGTCATCCATGGTGACTGGGCTACAAAGTAAGAGATGACAAGGTGACTCAGGAAGATCACTGAGACAGAACGCAGCCTGGTGAGCTGAGAAACTCACATGAAAGGGAACTTGGCTGGACAGGCGGGAGAAAGGCTTCACCTCTTGCCCCTGCCCTTTACTGGCTCTGTGGTCATGGCCAATCCACTCTTGCTTTCTGAACTACAGTTATAATTTGTGTCAAATGGAAGCATTAGATTTCCTGTCTCACTGAGCTGTTCTAACCATAGAATAAGATCATTATATGAAAGTGTAGGGAGAGGAAAGGGCAGAGGGAAAGAACTGAATTTGCTTCATACAAGTATTAGTGTAGTTGTTATATATTATCCATGTTTTAGTGATTATTAATATTACTATAATAATGTATCAATATTAGATCATCAGTTTTCCATGCTATTCAAATTATATATGTTCTGATGCCAGAAATTCATGATGACCACTGGGGCTGCACATTATAAACAGTTTTATGATCCAAATAACTCTTAGACATCAATATAAATGGCAATAAATGGCATTAATGCTCAGCCCAGCAGAGTGGACTCATTGAATGGTTATGAGGATTAATGTAATAAAAATAGCTGGCATATATTGAGTTTTCACATGTGTCAAGTTCTGTTCTAAATGATCTAATATAATAATTCACTTAATGGCAATCCTAAGAACAATCCCATGAAGAAGAAACTATTATTATAATTCTCAGGTTACAGATGAGAAAACTGCAGCCCAGAGAGGTTAACTAGACCAAAGTCACACAGCTAAGTAAAAAGAAGAGTAAAAATTAAAACTAAGGGACACTGGTTCCTAGACTGGACATAGATTGGAGAAGAAATGCATGCAGAATGTCACCAAGTTTTTTGCCTGAGCAACCAAAGGAACAAACTTGTCATTACTTGGGATGGGAAAGACTTCAGGAATTAATTTCTTTTAGGGGAACTCAGTTTGGATACGTTAAGTTTGAGATGCTGATCGTGTGTCCAAGAAGATGTGAAATAAGTCTAGATATGAAAATTGGGATCTGTCAGCATACGCATGGTATCTGTAGCCCAGAGGCAGAAAGTATAGATAGAAAACAAAAGAGATCTATGAACTGAGTCCTGGGTATCCAAGTGTTTACAGGTTGAGGAAGTAGGGAATCAGCTTAAGGGATAAAACAGAAGGAGTGGTCAGGGAATTAGGAGGAGCACCAAGTGAGTGTGGTTTCTGTGAAGGAAGCAAAGTAGTCAAGGAAGAAAGAATAATCAGTAGTGTCAAGTGATGCTGATAGGTTGAATAGATGAGGACTGAAAATAGCCTTTGGGTTGAGCCATGTAGAGAGTATTGATGACCTTAAGAAGAACAGCTTTGGTGGACAGGTTGGGGGATACCTGGTTGGAGTGGATCCAAGAGAGAATGGGACAAAGGGAAGTGAAGACAGTGACTTCCAAGTTTTTTTTTTTATAAAAGGAAGGTGAGAAATAGGGGAGTAGCGGAAAGAGAAAGTGTTTTTACTTCAAATTTTAATGTGGGACAAATAAGAGCATATTTGTAGACAATAAGAATGATCTAGTAGAGAGGAAAAATACTTGATTAAGTATGGGGGTAGGGATTTCCTTGAGCAGATGAGAGGCAATGAGATCTAGTGCCCAGGGAGAGAGGTTGGCCTTAGCTAGAAGCATGAACAACCATAGAAAAAAGGTAGAACAAACTAGCATAAATGCAGGTAGGTAGATAGGTACACAGGGAGGTTGCTAACGTTCTCTTCTGATTACTTCCATATTCTTGCACATTTATTACGCTACCACTCTGAGCTCACACATTGAAAGTGAAAGCTCTTTTTCCTGTTTTACTATTGCTCTTCACCTTGATTTCAACAAAACCTACATCATCCAGCAATTATAGCTGCTTGTGTATGTGTCTTTCTTTCCAAACAGCCTAAGAACTGAAGAAGGGTAGAGACCATGTCCCCTTCTTTATTGTTCCCTAACACTCAGCACAGTGCCTGACACACAGTAGGCCCTCAATAAATATTTGATGAACTGAATTAAATCCAGTACATTTGCTTCTCTCTACATGTGCTTTAACCTCATTTGCTTGAGTCATAAAAAGTTACCAAGATTATCTCTTCTGTGGATTGGTGGGCAAATTATTTGTGTTTCAGTCTGGTCTGTATTAGCGATTAGTGAATATGATACTCAGGAAAACGTATAAGCTTTGCTTATTTTTACAAAGACTTGGAACTTAATTGGGCATCCTCAGAAGGGTTACAATATGTGAGAGGATGCATATAGCTCCTTTTATAATTGACAGATTGTGTTCAGTTTGCCCAATTACTCTTTTCTTTAAAGAAGAGAGTAAATTTACTGTAATAGACATAGCATAATCTGAATTTATAGAACTCAGTGAGAAATCCTACCATCTGGTTAAAAATTGTCAGAGAATCACCTCCTTAGAAGAACCACCTAAGGAAGAAAGGATACACAACCAGTTTGTTGTGTGCTGTGATAGAAAATGTATCTCCCTACCTCCATCTAGTATTTTATTAAGACTTAGAAAAAGAGGAAGAAAGAAATACATCTGTATTAATTTTCTACTGTATATCTTTTTAGCAAGCTTCAAGTGACATTAAAATTAAGGTCAAACATAATAGTTAGCTGGGTCATGCAATGTGGATGAAGTCTATGGATATTCTTTCAGCAGCGTGGGCTTTCTCTAGTTGCAGTGAGTGAGGGATACTCTTCGTTGTGGTGCACGGGCTTCTCAATGTGGTGACTTCTCTTTGTTGCCGAGCACGGGCTGTAGGTGCGTGGGCTTCAGTAGTTGTGGCATGCAGCCTCAGTAGTTGTGGCGCACGGGCTCTAGAGCACAGGCTCAGTAGTTGTGGCACACGGGCTTAGTTGCTCCAAGGCATGCGGGATCTTCCCGGTCCAGGGCTTGAACCCATGTCCCCTGCGTTGGCAGGTGGATTCTTAACCACTGTGTCACCAGGGAAGTCCCAAGCATATTGTTGAGGACACAAACTCTGGACTTGGGCTTGCATCCTACCATAGATGACTTAGCTTCCTCATGTAGAAAAGGACAAGATAACATGATCTACCTCCTGTGGTTGTTATGAGATTCAAACAACTTAATGCCTATAAGGGTGCAATATGATATCCAGAATATCAGTAATTTCAGCCATTATAATTTACTTTAGTAATAATGATGATGATGACGTTAAAAAATGCAGGCTGCATCCTATTCTGGGTTTCCTTTTTTCTTTCTTGGTACACTTTTTCTTTTTTTGTAGTACACTTTGTTTTTTTCTGTAATCCTGGTCTTTCTTCTCTGCCCATTCTTTTTCCACTGTAGGAAAATCGATGGGACTAGTGAGGAAGAAGGTAACATTGAGCTGAATGAAGAAGGAAGGCCGGTGCAGACATCCAGGCAGAGCTCCCCACTCTGTGACTGCCACTGCTGTGGCCTCCCCAAGCGCTACATCATTGCCATCATGAGCGGGCTGGGATTCTGCATTTCCTTTGGGATTCGGTGCAACCTTGGAGTTGCCATTGTGGAAATGGTCAACAACAACACTATATACGTTGATGGAAAACTGGAAATTCAGGTCAGTGTCTGTCTATGGTGGGAGTTCTTTCAGCCATGGCTGTATTAATGTTTTAAATTCTTAAAATAAAACACATAGGATTATAAAGGAAACCCATCATTTTAAAATACAGATATCGGTCTTCCCTGGTGGCGCAGTGGTTAAGAATCTGCCTGCCAATGCAGGGGACATGGGTTTGAGCCCTGGTCCGGGAAGATCCCACATGCCATGGAGCAACTAAGCCAGTGAGCCACAGCTACTGAGCCTGCGCTCTAGAGCCTGCAAGCCACAACTACTGAGGCTGCATGCCACAACTACTGAAGCCTGTTCACCTAGAGCCCATGCTGTGCAACAAGAGAAGCCACCGCAATGAGAAGCCCGCACATCACAATGAAGAGTAGCCCCCACTCGCCACAACTAGAGAAAAGCCTGTGCGCAGCAACGAAGAACCAATGCAGCCAAAAATAAAATAAATAAATAAATAAAAATAAAGCAATAAAATACAGACACCAAAATATTTAAAAATCGAATTTGTTCTTTATGAACATGTCAGATGACAAACTCTAGCAATGGGTCTAATAATTACTGTAATTTGGAAGTCTGAAGGAGAAGCAATAGTTTGAGATAGCAGCAACAGCCATCATGTGATATGAGCATATTTATAATTGCCATTAGTCACAGAGTCACAGGTACTGATAAATGACTGGAGTTTGTTTCCTACATTCATAATTACAGGAAATGCTAAAGTTTAGTTAGTGGAAATAAAGATGCTGATTTTTCCCCATTCGAGTTCATAGATCCACATGGTTCCATCCACGGACTCCAGGTTAAGAAACCCTGGTAAAAAGGTAAAGCATGGGGCTAGCATCAAGAGAAGGAGGCAGCAAGTAAAGTGGGGTTAGGTCTTGCAGACCCTGGTAAGCCATGAGGGGAGATAGGGGCAGGCTTTAAGCAAAGAAGTGGTATGGTCAAATCCATGCTCCAGAATGATCACTGCCCAGCCAGTCATCTCCAGTGGATTGGGACTGGAGTGAGTGGAAGCAGAAGGTCCAGTTCAAAGGCTGTTGTAGTCATAAGCACTTAAATGCTTTAAGCACTCTGATGTCACTTAAATAGTATTGTTTTTATGAATCACTGGAAAGATAAAATCTGGTTTGTTTTCTAAATGGTAGGCCTAGAGAAGTGTTGAAATTATGGGAGAATAAAATGAAAATGTATGCCCAGTGGATACCCAACATATACGTGTTTCATTGCATTGAACACACACACAGGAGTGACACATGTGGAAATCCATCTGTTTGCAGAGAGACATCTAATAGTTCTCTGGTCCCTGCCCATATTTGGGGGAACATTTATTTGTTTATTTATTTTTAAAATTTGTTATTTTTTTTTGTTTTTGGCTGTGTTGGGTCTTCGTTGCTGCGTGTGGGCTTTCTCTAGTTGTGGCGAGCGGGGGCTACTCTTCGTTGTGGTGTGCAGGCTTCTCATTGCAGTGGCTTCTCTTGTTGCACAGCATGGTCTCTAGGCGCATGGGCTTCAGTAGTGTGGCACACAGGCTCAGTAGTTGTGGCTTACGGGCTCTAGAGCGCATGCTCAGTAGTTGCAGTGCATGTGTTTAGCTGCTCTGCAGCATGTGGGATCTTCCCAGACCAGGGCTTGAACCTGTGTTCCCTGCATTGGTAGGCAGATTCTTAACCACTGCCCCACCAGGGGAGCCCTGGGGAAACATTTAGATCAGAATTTTCCAAACTGGTGTCTGGAAATCATTGTTCTCTAGGCTATGCTGTGAAGAAGGTGTCTTGTGAACTGGGAGCCTTTACTGTGTTGTGTCCTATGAGAATCTCCAAGAGGGAGCTGTGGTGTGCATTGTTTCCTGGACTTGATTGCCGAATGCTTTCTTTCACGCCACATCTGTTTCTTGACAGAAACTGTTCCAGCATTACGTGGAACAGTTTCTGTCAAGCACCGGTTTGGGAAAATTAGATTTCAATTCATTAAAAAGAAGTCTTTAGTTGGCCGGCAGGTTTTTTGTTTATTGTTTTTTTCCCTTTTTCTTTTTAGCTAAGAGATTATTCTGCCAGAAGAAATAGGTACCATGGAGATTCTTCTAACCATTCTCTTTTTGATGCCACAGCTGAATCTGTTTTAAAAGGATATCCTGGTTGTTTATTTTGAGGCGGGGAGGGAGGGCCGTAGAGGTGTGAGGGGGCATGTCATGCATTTTAAAAATAAAGAATGATGTATATTAGTGAGGTTTCAGATGAGTATCACATGCATTCTGGCAGCCTTTTGTGAGCAAGGGCAGCTAATTAAACTCGTCTGCTGAGGCCCAGATCAAAATGATATGCTGGTTTGCAGTTTGTTGCCTGAAAAGATAGGCCTAGGTCAACAGAATTTGCTTGGAGGTATATGGAAAAGACATTTTGATAAACTTAAGGAACAATGCTGTGCGTGCTCTCTAGTTTCTATGGTTTTGCCCTCTGGAGTCTTAGAGAAACTGATTAAGATCTAAAATATGCTTTACATCATTTTCCCTGGCCTTATAAGTAGGAGTTTAGTAGCATTTCAGAAGTTCCAATTTGTAGCAGGCCATTTCTCTCTTATCCAAATAGAACAAAGCTTAGAAATTATCTGAGCATGTTCAAGCCAATGACAAAGATTTCACTAAGTGTATTACAAAAGGCTCTCAATGGCTGGTATATTTGTTTGGTTGGTTTTATGGGAGAAAAAATAGATATTTTGCACTGAGATATTTTAAAATCTTCATTTTCTGCAGAGGGAGAGAAGTAAGCAGTGTGAATTGGTAGGTCTTGCAAATAAATGGCATATATTCTATTAGTGGTATAAAGGATAGTTTTAGTTGATGTGTGAGTAATCATTTTTAGTTTGATAATTATGAGTTTTAAAACATGTGAATCACTTAGAACAGTGTCTGGCGTGTGGTGAGCAATAAATGACTAAAGTTTGAGCAACTTTGAGATTGGTTCCCATTACCCTCAGGAAAAACCCAAACTCCTTCTCATGGATCATGAGCCCTGTAGGGTTAAGAAGGATTGGGCTTTGGAATTGGCCAGACATGGTTTCAGACTTGACTCTCTTGTTTATTAGCTCTGGGATCCTGAGCAAGTTGCCCTTCTGTCTTGGTCAGGGATTGCTGGTTGCAAAGAATAGAATTGCAGGGAAACCAGCCGAAGTTAAGAAGGAAATTACAGTGGGGCTATAGGGAATCTCACGAAAGTGAAGGGCAGAAAGCAAATCTGCTGTGTATGTTTGTGCAGTCTGCACCCTGGACAGGGGAGCCCAGCCTGAGGTGGGACTAAAATCCAGGCTGTACCGTACTGTGGGGAGGAAAAGGAGCCCGGAAGGGCAGAGTGGAGCTGGACCTCATGGGAGCTAGGAAATCCTTAGCTTAGTCTCCAGCTTGCTTGCTGTGCAGTGTCTTGCATCTGCTTCTCTCTGAGTCTGCTCCATTCTCCCAGGTCTCTCCATGGACTGTTGTTTCTGTTTTTTTCCTTTTCCTTTAAAAAAAAATATTTATTTATTTATTTTTGGCTGTGTCGGGTCTTAGTTGCTGCACACAGGCTCTTTGTTGCGGCGCACAGGCTTCTCTCTAGTTGTGCCGCGTGGGTTACCAAGCACGTGGGCTCAGTAGTTGCGTTGCATGGACTTAGTTACCCCGTGGCATGTGGGATCTCAGTTCCCCAACCAGGGATCGAACCCGTGTCCCCTGCATTGGAAGGCGGATTCTTAACCACTGGACCACCAGGGGAGTTCATTTTTTTTTTTTCTTTTTCCATGGCTTCTCACTGCCCTCCAAAGCTGAAGTTCTTTGAGCCGTTGCCTTGCTGGGGAGCTGACTTACTTGGCCCTGACTCCAGTGTGACTTGTTTCAATTCAAGTGTTCAGTATTGTCTAACTAGAATCTCTGGGTTCAGATTAGAGAGAGAGAGAGAGACAGGTGGGCTGAGTCCATCCCATGCCTTGGCTCCCTCTACTCAGGTGTCCAGTCACAGGGGAGAGGCCCATGGCTCTGGGGGAGGAAGAGAATCCTCTTAGAAGGAAACGTGTGTAGGGAGCCAGGAACTGGCATTTCTAGCAATTCTTTGCTAATCCTCATTGCCTTATTGTGAAATGGGAATAAAATGCCTGCTTTACAGATCAAATGAGATAATCTGGCACCAATATATTAAATACCTATATTACTTTCCTAAGGCTGCTGTAACAAATTACCACAAACATGGTGGCTTAAAACAATAGGAACTTAGTCTCTCATATCTGGGGAGACCAGAAGTCCGAATCAGTGTCAGCGGGTCCACACTTCCTCCAAAGGCTCTAGGGGAGGATTCTTCCTTGCTTCTTCCAGCTTCTGGTGGCTCCAGGCGTTCCTTGGCTTGTGGCAGCATCACTCCAATCTCTGCTTCCGTCTTCACATGGCCTTCTTTCTGTGTACCTTCTCTTATGTCTCAAATCTCCCCCTGCCTTTCTCTTACAAGGACACATCATTGGATTTAGGGGCCAGCTAGATGATCCAGGAAAACTCATCTCAAGATCCTTGACTTTATCACATCAGCAAAACCCTTTTCTTGAATAAGGCAGCATTCATAGATTCTGGGGATTTGGGGCATATATTGTTTGGGGCCCTTTTTTCAGCCTAACACAGTACCTGACACAGTGCTTGGCTTATAATAATAGTTCAGACATGAGGCCATTATGATTGTAATGGGCTCAAGAGATAATGAAAGTCAGTTTTCAGCAGGCACAAGTGCTCTTCTTCAGGTATCATTTCTCAAATGGACAGAAGCACCATCTCGTCAGAGAGAAAGACATGAGCAAGGGGCCAGGTGATTGACAATTAGCTGCTGGTTGAAGTGGAGCCCTCTGTCTTGGATCCTTGGATTCTTGGGGCATTCTGTGACTCAAGGCAAAGAAGTCCAGTCTCTACTTCTCAGTGAGAAAGTCAAGTCTCCGCAGCAATGGGAAGAATACAGTTTTTTTGGGTCAAGTAGGTAAGAGGGCTTGGTCTTGGCTCTCTTTATAACGGGTTGTATGACCTTGGGCAAGTAAATTAATCTCTCTAAGCCTCAATTTCCTCTTCTATAAAAAAATGAGATAATAATAGTTACCTCTACGTGTTGTAAGGATTAGAAGAGGAAAGACATGGAAAGTGACTTAAAATCCGGTCCCTCTTCACTCAGTGCTTCCCTCTGTCTTTGAGTAAAAGCCAAGGTCCTTATGATGAGTTAAAGGGCCCTTTATCATTTGAACCTCTCTTACTTTAATGCCTATTATCCTCTTCCTCACGTTTACCCTCTAGCTCTACTGACATCTTGCCATTCCTCTAACACACAAGACGCATCCTTACCTCAGGGCCTTTGCACTTGCTATTTCTCTGCATGGAAAGCTTTCTTTTCAGATAATGAACAGCATGGCTTGCTCCCTTTCTTCCTTTAGGACTTTACTCAACAATCACCTCCTCACTGAAGCCTTTCCTGGCCACTCTATCTAAAATTTCACCCTATTTCATTCCTATACAACATTTCTGTCCCCCTCTCTGCTTTATTTTTTTCTTCTTATCACTGATCACCATCTAACACAGTATGCACTTGTATACTTTCCGCCATCCCCACTGGCATCTTTGTGAAAGTAGCAATTGCTGTCATTGTTCACTGCTGTATCCCCAGTGCCTAGAACAATGTGTGGCATGAAATAAAAATTTGGTAAGCTGGTTTGAATGAATGATTGTTAGTCCCATTTTACTCTTGAGCTTCAACTTCCTAATCTGCAAAGTGGGAACTACAGTACAGAGCACAGGCCAATGTTACCTGGACTGTGATCTCCTCAAGGCAAAGGCAATACTTGTTTGAGTTTGTATTTATACTGTCTATCACCTGACCTGGCACACAGGAGGCATGAGGTACATGTTGAATAAATGAGCAAATTATTATATAACAATTTGTGGGAAAATAAACTGTGATGAAAATTTATGAGATGTTGGGGACATCCCTGGTGGTCCAGTGGTTAAGACTCTGCACTCCCAATGCAGGGGGCCTGGGTTCGATCCCCGGTCGGGGAACTAGATCCTGCATGCATGCCGCAACTAAGTGTTTGCATGCTGCAACTAAGAAGTCCACATACTGCAACTAAGAGGCCTGCAGGCTGCAACTAAGATCATGCATGCTGCAACGAAGACCCAGTGCAGCCTAAATAAATATATAAATAAATAAATATTTATTTTTAAAAAAGAAAATTTATGAGCTTTAGTATGTTGATAATTAAGAACCCTTACTCCATAATAGGAACATCTTGCATTTTGATATCAATGCTTTACAAAGCCATTCGTTTATTCATTCATTTGGCAAATCTTTACTTGCCCCTTCTACATTACAGGCATTTGTTTCAGGTACTAAGGCTATAAAGTCAAAAGGACATGGCTGCCACCTTAGAGTTACTTGCCATCCCATGTGGGAAGTGGACACGTGAATGGCAAGTTTGAGAATAGTGTGAGTGCCATGGCTGCAAGAACAGAGGTCTGTGGACCAAGCCTAGGAAAATGACCACTTCAGTTCAGGGCAGTTGAGGCACTTCCTCAGAGGAGGGATATTTGTAGGGAGTCTGAAAAGGATGAGTTACTATGCCTGGGGAAGAAAGTGAGGAAAGGCTCTCTAACCCTCAAGAATCACATTTTCAATGACCTAAGAGTTGTGGAAGGGTATTTTGTTGTTATCATCATCATCATCATAACAACAATAATGGCTGCTAACATTTATTGAGACTACACTATATTCCAGGCATTATCTCTAAGCAGAGGGATAACCTATTAGAAATATTTATGGTGTTTATCCCCACTCATACTATAGGGAGGTAGAATAGGTTTTATTATCCTCATTATGAAACGAGAGACTTAAGACTCTCATTCCCTTTGTGCTGTCACTAAACTGGTATCTGAATAACCTAGTAAATAACCTAAGAAACCTAGAATTTATTTTTTGTTTTCTTTGCAAGTTGTTTTATTTTCTTCCTAGCACTCATCATTATTCTGTGTGTATATATATATACACACACATATGTATATATATAATATATACACACATACATGTATATATGTACACATGTATACATATATGCACATATACATGTATATCTATTTTTTTTCTTTTTTTTAATTTGTACATAATCTCTCCTTTCTATCACTAGAACCTGAGGTCAGTGACAGCCAGGACTTTGTTTTGTCCTATATCCCAAGCACACAAGAGGCCCTCCATAAAATATTTTTGAATAAAGGAGGGAAGGAAAGACCTCATGGGGTTATTGTGTAGGATGATCAGTGAATAATTATGGTCAAGTGTTTTCTTTCAAACACAACTGTATCTGATTTCTCATTTTCAGACAGCACAATTTAACTGGGATCCAGAGACGGTGGGCCTTATCCATGGATCTTTTTTCTGGGGTTATATTGTGACACAAATTCCAGGTGGTTTCATTTCAAATAAGTTTGCTGCTAACAGGTAAGATAAATTGATATAACATGAGTGCTGCACAGATCATAATATGGCTTTGTACTCTTATAAAATCTGCATAATTGGCTCTCAGTTTAGGGGTACAGAATGAAAGGTAGAAGCCGTCCCTAAAGGTGTGATTCACAGACATTGATCTTATATGATCCTGTTCTTAAGAGTCTCTTTTTGTTTACTTTTTGTCTAATCTAATCTATCTTGCAGTTCTTTAAATGATTATGTAATACAAAGATCAATTGCATCCGAGTCAGGAGAAACAGTTCCTGGACCCTAAGTAACTCACTTGGTGACCTCTACTGGGTTCCTTTTTTCTCTGGGCCTCAGTTTCTTCATCTGTGAAATGAAACAGATTAGATCGTGTTTGAGTTGCCTTTGACCAATGACATTCTGTGATGCTCTGTACTATGTTAATATCGTCCTGTTCCATACAGGTTTTGTCAAGTGAGTAGGAGGGGCTAGTCTCTAGATTGCAAGATGTCTTTAATGCCCTTGAGATTCTATGGTAGGGGTTTGAGCAATTAAAAGTGGGTCCAAGACAAAATGAGCTGCTTCAAGGAGTAGTAAGTTCTCTGTCACTAAAGGTATTCAAGCAGAAATGATGGCCACTTGGGGGAGATGTAGTATGTATATGTGCCAGAAAAGGAGTGTACTGATTATTTCCAAGTCTCTTCTAATTGTAATTGACTTTACATATGTGGATTTTGTGAAGTGTATACTTTATAAAGCAGTGTTTTTCAAACTCTAAAACAGAACTCATTAGATGGTAATAAAATCAATAGTGATCTACCAATGACCATTTTCTAAGAAAAAAGAGGGAGAAATAGAAGAAAAGGTAATCAAATAGAATAAAATAGAATAGAAAATATCTTAGCTCATTGCACATTTAAGTATTGGTTTTTGAAACTTGTTTCGGTTACATTTGTGTGTATCAGTGTGTTGAGTTGCGATATAAAATATATTTTGTTTTATGGGTCAAGGACAAAAAAGTTTGAAAGTCATCTTGTATAAGCATGACTCATATTTACTTATGTTCTAGTGTAGTTTGTGCCCTTTATTGTCACTTACCTGTTGTATTCTTCTTAAAAAGTGATAAAATATTAGTTCTTATGGTCTCTGGGGTTACTGCTTACACTTCTGCCCTAAGAAGAAATAACATATAAAATGATTTCACAGCATGTAAAAAGGGCTGAAGCATCACTAACACGTGTGAGAAAGGAAGAAAATGCTGCCGGCTCTCTTTTCCCAGGACACTCCTGTCCAGGCAGGGAGGAGAAGGCACACGGTACTTGGCAGAGAGCTGGGGGCTAAGAGAGGTACACAGCCTGTCTTGTGCTTGGCTGGTCCCAGGATGCAGCATGCTTCTCAGATAGTCAGTATCCCCGTCTGATAAAGTGAGAGCAGAATTGGGAAGCAGGAGACACAGCCCAAATGTGCAGAAGTCATGAGGTAATGGTCAGAATGGATCAGCTGGGTAGAACCAAGAAGAATGGTGGGTCTCTAGCAAGCTTACCTCATGCTGGTCAATCTCCAGCTTCAGGATCTCATCTAGGCAGGACATCCCCGTACTGCCCCAAACCTTCCCATGATTGGTCCAGGGACTGGAACTTGGGAATCAAAGCGGCCCAACAGTCTAGCTTGGAACACACCAGATCCTAACACAACATCTATTTCTCTTTCCATTAATTTCTATAGTGATCTTCCATAAACTGTTAAGTTTGTTCCTGATGTTTAACTAACATGCCACATCCATCAGTGGGCCTGCCCAATAACACAGTGTTTTGGTCCCTCAGGGTCTTTGGAGCTGCCATCTTCTTAACATCGACCTTGAACATGTTCATTCCATCTGCAGCCAGAGTACATTACGGATGTGTCATGTGTGTCAGAATTTTGCAAGGTCTAGTAGAGGTAGGAGATTCTTAACAAATTTTGATATTGCTGGAGACAAGATGGTCCTTTAGAAATTTCAGCTTTTGAAGAAAACCTCCTTTACTCAGTTTTCCTATCTTCCACCTTGTCCTGCTATCTGAACTCTCTGGTTATGATTACAATTATGAATACTTTAATTAAAATGCCTTGTATGATTCCAAATTTATACCCAATAAAGGGCCATTTCATAGAGGGCAGAATTTCAGATGAGCCAGGAGTGATCTTAGAGATAATCCAACCCCTTTCATTTAATAAAATTTGAAACTGAAAGACCCAAACTTACAGTTCACATAGCAAGGGCTCTTTCCATTAAAACAGTTTAAATGCACTTATTAATAAATCTGTAAATTTCCAAGGGTGTAGTCTTACACAGAGATTTAACTTGATGAAGGAGGTAGAATAATATAGAGCCAGAAAGTAAATATTTTGCACTTTGCTGGCCATACTATGGTCTGTTACAATGACTCAACTCTGCCATTGTAATGCAAAAGCAGTCAGAGACAATATGTAAACATGTGGGCATGGCTACTTTCCACTAAAACTTTTTGGACACTGATATTTGCATTTCATATGATTATCACATGCCAGGAAATATTATTCTTCTTTCAATTTTTTTTTCTGCCCACTTAAAAATGTAAAAGCCATCTTTACTTGAGGGCAAAGTTGAACAAAAATAGATGGTGGGGCCATATCAGGCTATAGTTTGCCAATACCTGATGTAGAGAAATGTTTCCCAAACTCAGTCATTCACCTCTAACCTTTGTCACTTTTGTCACATCCACACTATGATTTATACTATTATTTGCCTATATTTTTTCCCTAGATCAATTCACTTCAAAACAAAAAAAAAACAATATAAAAGAACCTATCATAAGCAAAAATATCTTTGATATCATGGGCTTGATGTACTAGTTATATTTTATTTCTAAAGCATGTTATAATATATATGTAACAATTATAATAAAAAATGTAGGTTGTTGTAGCACTTTAAATCCAACTTTAATCCCACTAGAGGGGCATATACCACACTTCAGAAAATACTGACGTGGTAGAAAGAACATGATATTAGCAGCCGTGAAGACTAGAATCTAATCACTTAATGGCTCTGAGCCTCAGGTTCTGTATCTTGAAATGACAGGATGGACTGGCTGGTTGTGGAAATCCCTTTTTACACTGATATTCTATAATAATATGAAATATAAAGACCCCTTCCCTATTCCCCACCATGCTTATGTTTGAACTAGTATTTGAATTTCAGCATCTGTGCCATGAGCCAAAATAGCTGACACATGTTATTTAGTATCTGTAAATTAGGCTTTGAATTGTAGTGTTAAAGAAGCAAAATCTGTGTTTTAAACACAATAAGAAACTGGAGTCGAATCAAATAATCTATTTTCAACTGTTTTGCCAGGGTGTGACCTACCCAGCCTGCCATGGGATGTGGAGTAAGTGGGCACCGCCTTTGGAGAGAAGCCGACTGGCCACAACTTCTTTTTGCGGTAAGTGTATTAGAACCATAACAAGTTTCATTTAGGAATGCTTTTGGCTTCAAGTGAAGATCCTACTAAATAGAATTTATTTTTTTCACGTAACAGAAGTCCAAAGGTAAATTGTTGCTAATATTGATCCTGCTGCTTCGTGATCTATCCAGGGACTACGCACATTCGGACTTTTTACTCCACTATCCTCAGAGTGATAACTTTTTACATTCATGCGTGTTCCTCATGTTCACCAAATGGCTGTCACAGCTCCAGGTATCAAGTCCACATTAAAGGCAGAAAGAAGTGGGGATAGGTGTCCTAACCATGTCTCTTCCTTTCACTAGGAAAGCAAAAGCTTTCCCAAACTCCCTAGCAGGCTTCCATTTATATTTCCTTGGTTCTAATTGTGTCATATACTTCACTAACTGCAGAGGAGGCTAGAAAAGCAAATGCCTAGTTTTTCTAGCATCTTTAATAGACAAAGGTTAAGAAAGAAGGGGTTGGAGGTGGTTGTAGGATTAGCCAACAAATGATATTTTCCAAAGTTGAAAACAGAAGATATATCAATAGAATCATCAAAGCCCCCACTCCTTTTCACAAATGAAGAAATTAAAACTAAAGTTTAAAGTTTAGTTTCATTGAACTGAAACGAAAGTCCAACGACTTGCCCAAGGTCACACAGCTACTAAGTTAAGGAGCTGGATCTAGACCACCTGGTTCTTGAGTCAGAACTTTCCTCACTACACACTACTATGTACACATTGTCATAGAAGCTATTTAATCAATTTTCTCCATTATCTTCCAGATAAAAACGAAGTGGACACCATCCATCTTACCCGAAAGTAAATTAATGGCTCTTAAGTAGTGATGTGACTTAAATTCCTGGGTCTCCAAACTTCACCTTGCTAAGGTTGCCTCATTTGAAGCCATGTCTTTGGGACTGGCCCCTCTATGAATCTCTGAGAGTAATCAGTGTTCAGAAGAGTCTACTAGGTATTGATTAACATTTGAACAAGAACAGCACATGCTGCCACCAATATTTTCAAATATTTTTTATGGGAGAAGGGGCCAAGAAAGACAAAAGTGCCTTAGGCCACGAAAGTCACAACGGGCCCACGTAGAATTAGGATCAGAATTTAGTTCTGCTTAGTTTTTCAGGCTAGCGTGTCTTTCCTAACCGGAGCTAACGTGTATTTCTTAACTAAAGAGGAAGCTTTATTTCTCTGAATATCTTTATTTATTTCTCCCTCTGTCTCTCTCTCTTTACCTCCTTAAGTAGTAGTAGTAATAGTAATAAAGGATCCCAGGGAATCTGGTGTGAAATATCCACCGAAAGTGTCTATTTTGTGCCTAGTTTGGAAATGCATGCACAGCAGAGATGTCTTTACTTCTTTATCCTCTCTTGTCCTTAGAAACTACTTCTGTCCTCTTGTTTGAAGTTCAAGATCATCTCTACCTCCACTACTGACCTTATGCCACCTCTAGAAGAATATGATTCTGCCCCAGCTGACCTTGACCTATTCATATTGTCTTTTTAAATTTATTTATTTATTTTTGGCTGTATTGGGTCTTCATTGCTGCACACAGGCTTTTTCTAGTTGTGGTGAGCTGGGGCTACTCTTCTTTGTGGTGCAGGGGCTTCTCATTGTGGTGGCTTCTCTTGTTGCAGAGCACAGGCTCTAGGTGCACAAGCTTCAGTAGTTGTGGCATGCAGGCTTCAGTGGTTGTGGCTTGTGGGCTCTAGAGCGCAGGCTCAGTAGTTGTGGCTCGCAGGCTTCATTGCTCCATGACATGTGGGATCTTCCTGGACCAGGGCTCGAACCCGTGTCCCCTGCATTGGCAGGTGGATTCTGAACTACTGTACCACCAGGGAAGTCCCCTGATATTGTCTTTGGATGATTTATTTGTAAGTCTTTTCATTTTGATTTGCCGGCAAAACAAGAATAACTAGCAGCTACTGCCCATTCTTAGTGTCTTTATAGACCTAAAAGGGCTAATTAAAGAAATGATTTGACTCTCAAGGAAGGTTACCTGATCAAGGTCACAGGCTTTATTACATTTCCCAGCTAAGGTGTGGCCTTGGTTTCAAAGAACAGCCAAGAGAAAATGTCATTAGAAGTAAACCCAGGCTTAGGGATAATTGACTCTTACACTTCAAAAATATTGGAGTTGGAAGGGTCTTTAGAAAACATCTAGTCACATCCATTGTTTTATATTTTTAATTAAATTTAATTTTTTTTAGAAGTAAAACTGGTTTTATTCAAAGGCATAGATTTTTGTTTTTGCTTTTTTCGCCCTACTTTTATTGAGTTGTAAGAGACATGCAGACTATACAGTTTTAAGGTGTTCAACATAATGATTCGACTTACATACATCATGAAATGTTTGCCCCCATAGATTTAGCGAATGTCCATCCTTTCATATAGATACAACATCAAAGAAATAGGGAAAAAATTGTTTTTCCTCGTGATGAGAACTCAGGATTTACTCTCTTAACTTTCTTTGACAACATACAGCAGTGTCAATTATCTTTATCATGTTGTATGTTACATCCCTAGTACTTATTTATCTCATACCTGGAAATTTGTACCTTTTGACTGCCTTCATCTAATTTCCCTTCTCCCCACCCCTGCCTCTGATAGCCACAAATCTGATTTCTTCTTCTACCTCCATTATCTTATAGTGGAGGCTCAAGAAGGGAAAAAAAGATATAAATTCCCATGGAGAGTGAGGACAGAACTTGGGACTCTCCCATCCCCCGTTCAGCCACTCCCCTCTCTCCACGCCAAGCAAGAAGTATCGGAGGGCCTCCTCTGTCCTCCCTGGTGACCACACAGAGGCATCAAGGTGCAGTGAGGGCAATATGGGTGGAGAGCCCTGTTGGGGTGTGCTCAGGGTGTGATAGGAGATTACATTCAGCCATGTCTGGAAGGATGAGGAAGAGTTCATCTAAAAGACAGGGAAAGGCTTCACTGGTGGCGCAGTGGTTGAGAGTCCGCCTGCCAATGCAGGGGACATGGGTTCGTGCCCCTGTCCGGGAAGATCCCACATGCCGCGGAGCGGCTGGGCCCGTGAGCCATGGCCGCTGAGCCTGTGCGTCCGGAGCCTGTGCTCCGCAACGGGAGAGGCCACAACAGTGAGAGGCCCGCGTACCGCAAAAATAAATAAATAAATAAATAAAGACAGGGAAGGACAATTTCAAGCTGTAAAATTTCCTCAGTGAATGAATGTTTCTTACTGTGAGGAATTATTGGGTATGGTTGAGTGGAAGAAGCAGGACTGAATTATTAAGTAGTTAAGGTTAAAGTCTTTGGATTCCTGCAGACCTGGGGTCCTATCACTCACACCTATGTGACCTCAGGAAATTTACCTCCCCTCCCCTCCCCTTCTTGTAAAATTGGGATGACACAGGTACCAATGTTACCAGGTTGAAAAAAGGGTTAAATAAAATCAGGGGTCCAGAATACTCAGCACAGTATTAGAGAGCACACAGAAAGCACCCAGTGGATCTTATAGATTGTTATCCTCTGACCCTCCCTGTTTGCATCATCTAAGCTGGAGGCCCCACACCCCCACTCCCAGGGTATTTGGTCCAGGAAAGAAGACCACCTTCTCCACACCCACAGAGGAATTAGGCTTGCAGCTTTTCTTTCTAAGGATACGTCCTAGAATGCTTGCCTTATTGGTTTGAGGAAGTCTGAGGTTAAAAAAAAAAAAGTGCTGTGTCATTCTGTACATGACAGTAGCAGTAATAGTTGGTGTTTATGCAGCACTAATTAGAGCATCTTCATCTAATAATTTATTTGCTCCTCAAAACAACCCTGTGAGATAGAGATTTCACTTCCGTCTTCTACCTAATGAAAATGATTTGGAGAGACTGAGAGACTTCTTCAGGTGTTATGATGTTCAGATTTGGGATTCCAGATCAGGCCTTTCATAACCAGTTGCGCCCAGCTTGGAAAGATGGGATTCAATCTCTTTCTCTGGAAGATCCCCAAGCTCCCATTTCCTGAAGGTCTTTCTTAGCATTGGATTCTGGGATACAGAATTTCCTTCTGCAGCTCACTTTTTCTGAAGCAAGAATTTTTTTCATTCATACCCAGAGGGAATTTCAGATAGTAATTTTTTTTATTTAGTTAATATTTATTGGGAGTTTGCAGGGCTCACGTTTCTCCAGCAGGTATCATGGAACTGCAGGAGATAGTGGAGGTGAGGTCACTGCCTCTAGCCCTCACTATCTTGTCTAGACAAGACAAACATCCACATATAGGTAAGTATTTACAAGGTTAGGTATTTACAAAGTAAGAAATAAACTTAAAAAATGTACATATTTAGGAGGTGGATGGAGACAGAAGCCATCCTGGTCATCCTGCCATCCTGAAATTTAACTGTTTCCTGGTATTAAAAAAAAAAAATCGAGACTGTAAAAGCATGATCCTTTCATAGTTTGAAGTCCCTCATTTAAGGACCTAGGTGAATTATATCTCAATAAACCTGGAAGAAAAGAAATTTTTAATAAATAAAGACCACGATGATAATCCTTCTGCTCTGTGAGCCCTGAGAGGTAGATACATATGTTCCTTCACTTTCTGTCTTCTGCACCCAATATTGTGCCTGGTTGAATTTTTCAGAATTCTCTTAGATTTTTCTCATCTTTTCATTCCATTCTCTTATAATTCCAAATCACGGTGCCTGAGCCATCTTTGTCTGATCCCTCCATGGTGTCTGGAGGAAGTTAAAGGGCATCCTGGTGAACTTTCTCTCCTGGAAGCCCTGTTTTGGGCACAGTGGGAGTTTGCCTGCTCCTCCTCGTGACTCCTGTACAGTTTGATTCATCCTCAGTTCGACCACATGGACTCTAAATGGTTTGAAAGGGCTTGCATGACGACTGGTAAGTTTCCCTCAACCTTTTCCCGTTCTAGGTTCCTACGCGGGGGCAGTGATTGCCATGCCGCTGGCCGGCGTGTTGGTACAGTACATGGGATGGGCCTCTGTCTTTTATATTTATGGTGAGTGATTTGATTTCACGAGTTCCCTTGGGTGACTCATAGAGGTGGTATTTTACTGTCTAATGGGGTTGGCTAAGAGTTTTCTGTATGAAAATAGAGATTACTAAGACAAGTTTATCATATAAATGGGATACTTGTCTAGCAATGATTCATTTAATGTTTATATGAAAGTTGAATTTAATGAGCAGAACATTATCTTTCTTTAAATACCAGTTAATAATAACAACAACAGAAAAATAAACCAAACACTTTCTCCTAGCTGAATATAGTGCCATTTGAGAATACTTTGAAATTTGACAGATTTAGAGATGGAAGAAAATGAGACCGTATCATCAAGCCTTTTGTTTTTCAACTGCAGGTATATTTGGGATTATCTGGTACATATTTTGGCTGTTGCAGGCCTATGAGTGTCCAGCAGTTCACCCAACAATATCCCATGAGGAAAGGACCTATATAGAGACAAGTATAGGAGAAGGAGCCAACTTGGTTAGTCTCAGTGTAAGTAGAGCCGGATGGATGAAGACTTGCCTCTTTTTTATGAGTATTTCTCTCAGTGATTGTGTTATCCTCCTAAGAAAAATAATCTGTCAATATATTCACTAAAAATCCCACGGTATTTTTACTCCCTAGAAATTTAATACACCATGGAAAAAATTTTTTACATCGTTGCCGGTTTACGCAATCATTGTGGCAAATTTTTGCAGAAGCTGGACCTTTTACTTGCTGTTAATAAGTCAGCCTGCTTATTTTGAAGAGGTCTTTGGATTTGCAATAAGTAAGGTAAACACACAAATGCTTCAAATGTTCTTGAACTTTAAATCTCTTGCTTCTACTGAGAAAATCTTTGCATGATAAAATAAGTAAATTGCTGATCAAAATTCATAACAGTTCTGTGACACCTAATACCCTGGAGGTCAGACAAGTTATACATTCTATGCACAGTATACATAGCTATTTAATTTCTTCTTAGTAAGGATCAGAGCTGCATTAAGCTGCTTTTAAAGATTTGTATTATACCTGATCTCAAAGTGTTTTTGAAGCTGACTCAAGGACTGCATATTAGGCAAGGATCAAAAGATTTAAGGGTGAGAGGTTTTTTTTGTTTTTTGTTTTGTTTTTTGTTTTTCCTATAAATTATTCAGTGAGGAGCTGTAAGAACCTTAAAGCTCATTTTGCAGATCACGGTCATAGCGATAACGGCCAGAGCTTTGTATGGTTTAGAAAGAACTTTTTCAAAGTCCCCAGCCATGGCCATTAGGTTGTCTGTGTTTCAGGGAGGAAGAGTGTGAATGGTAAAACATAGACTGTCATCATAAAAGAATTAAGCCTCCTTCCCACAAGGGAAAGAACAGCAGCCTAGCAGAGGTAGATGTCTGCATGGCTACAGATACTGTCAGAAGTGACCATGGAAGAGCTAGCACAGCCCATAGTGGCCGCCATTGGAGGACACTCAGTCTGCACCAAGCGTTTAACTACCATGTGCCGGGCCCTCTGCTGCGTGCTGGGGCCTGTGATGAATAAAAGTCACCTCTGCCCTCAAGGAGCTTCCGATCTGATGGAGGAGACATTTGGTCTATCCTTAAAACCATTCATTCATTCATTGTTTATTTATTACAGAATTCAGGCCTACCTTGGTCCCATATAATTAGATGATTAAATCTGATGGTGAGGGGTGTGGTGGAGATGGCGGGGGCAGGGAGTTAAGGAAGAACCTCTCTCAGAAGTAGCTAAAAATAGCTCATTGCTTCTTTTCATTCCAGGTGGGTCTCTTGTCAGCACTTCCACACATGGTTATGACAATCATTGTGCCTATTGGAGGACAACTGGCTGATTATTTAAGAAGCAGAAAAATTTTGACCACAACTGCTGTCAGAAAAATCATGAACTGTGGAGGTACTGTGGATTTCATAGGTGGCTTAAGCAGCTTTTATAGAATGAGATGAAACTGAATTGCAGACCATATTTTGGAGTTTATGTCTAATCACTGAGCAGGATCTTAAAGGCTCCTAAGTCCATCCCCCAGTTGAATGTCCATCACACCCCTGCCTAGTCGTCATTCATCCTGTACTTGTGCAACCTGAGATACGACAACTTGGGAATTCCCTGGCGGTGAGGACTCCGCGCTCTCACCGCCAAGGGCCCAGGTTCAATCCCCGGTTGGGGAACTAAGATCCCACAAGCCACGTGGCCAAAAAAGAAGAAGAAAAAGAAAAGAAATATTAAAAACGAGAGAGAGATATGACAACTTATTTGATACATCAATATACACTGGCAACTGCAGAAATGCTTCTTTCATCTACTCTTAAGCCAAAGCAACATGATTTCCTGGTATCTATCTGTTTATTTTTTATCTTTCCCATATATCCTTCCACATATATAATCCTTTGCTTTTATAGTTTGTTCCCTTATCTCCCCCTTCCCTTTCTACATATATACATGTTTTGGTAAGAAACATAAGAAAAGCATTTTCTCTGAATAGTTTTCTTTCTTCCCAACATATGCTTGTGCATGGGGTGTATACACACACACACACACACACACACACACCATCCTCTTCCTTGTGTTATTTAGTTCCTGTTTCATGTTTTGATTTTGCAAAGATAAAATAGAAGTTGGGGGATTTTCCAAAAGAGGTAGGTAAAAGTAACACGAACCCTTACAATGCTTATGACAGCTCACCTTTTTAAAACCCTCCACTTTCTCCTTATCTTATTTGTTTTGCTTTTAAAATTAGCATTTAATGAACACTTTCTGTGCCAGCCACTAAGCTAAATTCTTTACACATATTATTTTATTTAATCCTCATAACCACCCTGTGGAGCAAGTGCTGTTATGTATTAAACCCAATTTACAGTGAGGAAACTGGGATATAATAAAGTGACTTGCTCAAGTGGCAGATCCTGTGCAAGATCCCAGGTCTGTCTGAGCTCACTGCCAATGCTTACAGTCACTACTGCTATCTCTCCGGGGGACTGGGGGTCAGGGTGGGCAGGTGGGAGGTAGAGGACAGTGCCATCTATGGGCGAAAGTTCCTAACTGGGATATTAAGTTGAAAAGGAGGGAATGGGGGCACTGTGACTAGATTAGATGGGTCAGGGCCCTTTAGAAGTGAAGATCTTATGGAGGGATGCAAGGGCCAGCAGGCATGATCTCATCGCACAGCATCTCAAGAATAAAGTCTGATCAGGGAGATTGGGAATAACCTGTCAGCATCTGGGCTCCCAGCAGTTTGACTGCTGGCCCCAAGCAGGGATTTGGGGGCCTACCCTTGACTTGAACTTAAAGGTTGGCGGGTATGGGCTTGCTCTCTGATGGGAAGGAGGGGAAGCTCTGGGGCACTGCATTCACTATCCTCCCCAAGGCGGCTGAGGTAGGCAGAATAATTTCCTCATCAAAGATGTCTATGTCCTAATTCCCAGAACTAGTGAATGTGTTTCGCTACACAGTAAAAGGAATTTTGCAGATGTGATTAAATTAAGGATCTTGAGATGGAGAGGTTATTTTGGATTATCTGTGTGTGCTCAACATAATTACAATGGTCCTTATAAGAGGAGGCATGAGGGTCAGAGTCAGAGATGGAGATGTGACAGTGGAGGCAAAGGTCGGAATGATGGAGCCACAAGTAAGAAGAGAGTTTCCCCAGAGCCTCCAAAAGGAATGCAACTCACTGACACCCCCATTTTAGCTCTGTAGGACCCATTTCAGACTTCTGACCTCTAGCACTGTACGATAAAAAAGTTGTGCTGTCTTAAGTCACTAAGGTTGTGGTCATTTGTTATAGTAGCAATCAGAAACTTATATAGTAGTCAAAGTACCACTCCTCTAATTATCAGATTCTGTTCCAGCTGAATAGCCCTCCAAACCAGGCCCTGAATATATCTTGCTGTCTCTGACTTTGCTCACGCCCTTTCCCTTTACTGTGAGCTCTGCTCACCTTCACCAATCAACCCAGTCCTCCCCACACAGCCTACTACATCAGCTCAAGTCTTTTCACTAGTGTTTTGTTAAGGCTACCTCAGCCTCCAGTGAATGTTCCTTCTGTCTATACACTTGGTTGACAACTCATCATGTACTTCCTTATTACAGCTCTTGCAGGAAAGTATTTTAGGCAGAGGGAATAGCATGTGCAATGGCCCTGAGGCAGACATGACTGTGACATGTTAGAGAACAGAAGGAAGGAAAGTCAGAATGGTCGGTGCTTGATGAGTGAGGTGGAGAGTGACATTGAGGGGATCAGAGTGCACAGCTGGGGCCAGATCACGGGAGGCCTTGTAGACAGACCTACGTGGAGCTTGGGTTTTACTTGAGGTGCATTGGGAAGCATATGGAGGGTTTAAAGGAGGGAAAGGGACAAGATCTGATTTACGCTTTCAAATTGAAAGAATAGAACTTAGAGTAAAAGAAGGGAAACTAGCTAAGAGGCTATTTCAGTCATTCCATGGAAAGAAGATGGTGGCTTGATCTAAAGTAGTGTCAGTGGAGGTGGACACTGAAGTGGATGGATTTCTAAATTCCATGAGCCTTACTTTCTTCTTCTTTAATATCTGATTGTTATGATTGTTATGATTGTAAGTGAGATGATTGTTATGATTGTAAGTGAGACAACATATGTATGCACCCAGCATGAGTTCAGCAAACAGAATGTTCTTGATATATTTTAGTGCCTTTTTCTTCTCCTGTGTTCAAGACACTGACAAAACAGAAATTTTCCAAAGGAAGCATTCAATAAGTATATGCTATTCAATCATATTTCCCATAGCCAAAAATATGCAACTTCTAAACCTAGAACTTGAAAGAAAATTCTGTGTTTAAACTCTACCTGTACAACCTCTTCTAAAGACAGATGCCTTGAAGACCCTAACAACATTTTCATAGGAATGTCTTGTTCATATTTAATTTTTCCTCAATCACCTTTGCCATTGTTTCTTCATAATTAGTAGTTCAGGTGGTGGTAACAACTCTCAAATATTTTAAATCCTTGAGAGTAAATCCTTTTTTTTTTTTTTTTTTTTTTTTTTTTTTTTTTTTTTTTTTTTTTTTTTTTTTTTGGCGGAAACTAGAATGCATTCATAGAATCTCCCCAGCCTCTATCCCATCTTAAAAAGAAAAGAAAGCTCTTCACATGTCTATTCATGTCATTTTATATTTTGACATAGCGGAACCAGTGGGATATACATAGAAAAAATTTTTTAAAAGACCATGCTTATCCCGCCTTGCTTAAACACAGAGATGCTGCATTAGAGATAAACACAGAGTTTTGTGCCATCACTGAATAAGCCAGATTGATTTGGATACAATGAAGCACTTACATGATCTTCTAGAGAATTTTAGTTGGTTTCATATTTTCTAAGCCGAAATACAGAGGACGTTTCTCATCTGAGAAAGATCACACATTTTGTGGAGTCTGCCACCTCCTTCTTTTCTTTCCATAGGCAAGAGATATTTGCTGCTAGAATCATTTAAAGCAAACAGATCACCTTAAGACATGATGCTCTATTCTAGTTCATTCTGAATCAGGGCACATTTCCAAGATCCTCAGAGACAGATGTCAAATCCTTATACCTCCCTCTGTATTACATGGAAAGTGTGAGTGAGGTCAAAAATTCTAGTCTGGCCGAATCAGTTGCCTGTGTGAACTTCAGGTGAGATGAAAAAATTTCTCAGGCCTTTTAATCCTTGTTCCATTTTTCTTGTCAGCTCTGAATAGGTTCACTTTCTAGGATCTCTTGATTACCCATGAAGTTCAAATTTTATCCTTCAGCTCCTGAAATGTACAGTTCTATCTTTAGCATTTTCACTGTAGATAGGAACCATTTAGGCTCTTAAATGGTTTTTCTTTCTTTGAAAGTCTAATATTTGGCAAAGGTCTTTTTTTTCCTTAGAGATGAATCAGTGTATCATTTGTAGCTTTTCTTCTTCACGTGTCTTTATTCTAATTCTTTGGGGGAATTAACTTTCTGGTACCACTTTGTTGAAAGTGTTAAAGGAAGTTTCAGCCATGTGCCTTGTTGCTTAAGACAGGCCACTTCTAAAACACAAACAGTTAGTATACAAAACACTAGCAGTTTTTCCTTATGTATAACTTAAACTGTTGAAACAAAATTAATAACAAGTAGTAATGGTATAAAGTCAACAGTTTTTAAAATTTTTATTTATTTATTAAAAATTAAAAAATGTTTTCATACAATTTTTAAAGGTTACTTTCCGTTTATAGTTGTTACAAAATATTGACTACTTTCCCCTTGTTGTATAATACATCCTTGAACCTATCTTACACCCAATAGTTTGTACCTTCCACTCCCCCATCCCTACATTGCCCCTCCCTCCTCACCCACTGGTAACCACTAGTTGGTTCTCTATATGAGTGAGTCTGTAAAGCCCACAGTTTAAAAAGCACCTCTGCACCCATAATTGCATTGATCCTCTTTAGATGACCAAGTAAAACAATTATTGAGGCTTGCCCTATTTCTATGATAGTTTTGAAGAAATGGACTCAGACAGGTAAGCAAATTACCAAGGTTTACAAAAAGTGCTTTAGCTTGTGTTTTAACTTGTCTTGGTTTTCCTTTCTTTCCTTCACATTAATTCATCAAGCATTATTTCTTGAGCTCCCACTACATACTCACCACTACCAATACTCACTACATACCTTCCCTGGATAATATCACAGTTTTGTCAGGGAGGCAGAAATACAAATGAAAAACTACAAGACAATGTTGAAGAGCTCTATAAAATGAGTAAGAGTGAGATGTCAGCTTTACTGGTGGGTGAGGGGCAGGGTTATCAGGAAAGCTTCCTAAAGGAAGCAATGTTTGAGCTGGACTTTAAAGAATAGTAAGATTTTCTCCAGAAAAGAGAAGGGGTAAGAGGAGAGTACCGCAGGTGAAGGAACAGTCTGTGGAAATACATTATGGGCACAAAACAGTGCTGCAATCAGGAAGCAGCGGATAGATCTGTGGGACAACAGGGGGCTCTCTACGGGCTGCAGGTGGTGAGCAAGGAGGTGAGGGTGGCTGGAGATGAAGCTGGAACCGCAGGAGGGATTGATTTTACAGCACTGTACTCATAATACATAACCATTGACAAGGGTTTTAAGCAAAGGGGCAACTGATCAGATTTGTGGTTTAGAAAGATAATGATCTAGAGAATGGATCAGAGGAAGAAGAGATGGGAAGACCAATATAGTAAAGAGGTTATTGAAGTTGTCCAGGTGAGAGATGGTGGCGCCCAGAACTAAGACAATGGCAGAGGAGGGGAAAGCAGAGGTCGGATTTGACAGATATTTCTGAGGCCAAACCCATGGATTCTTATCTTATGTGAAAGCTGAGGAAGAGAAAGAAGTCCGAGATGATTCTGAGATTTCTGCATTGGACTTTTTTTTTTTTTCTTTTGCGGTACGCGGGCCTCTCAG